GCTGCCGCCCAGGGAGGCGCCGGCGCCAGCTCCAGCCGCGGAGGCCAGCTGCTGCGCCCCGCGCGCGTAGCCATCGAAGCCGCCCTGGAGCTGGTGGCTGTTACTGATGAGCGCCTCGACCGCGTCCTCGGGGCTGAAGCCCAGCGCCTCTGGGTTCAGCTGCTGCGGGTAGCCGGTCATCCAGTAGTAGTCTTCCAGGTGCGCCTTCTGCTCGCTGCCCGAGCCCGGGCTGGGCGCCGAGAAGCTGGGGGAAGGGGGCACCGAGCTGCACGGCGTGCTCATGGGGGTGGAGGACAGCGAGCCCCCGGCGATGAGACGGCCGCACTGGCTGATGATGCGGTCGGTCTCCACCGGTTCCTTTTTCACTTCAAACTTCATCAGATCGAAGTCATTAACATATTCCATGGCCAGGGGACTGGTGGGCAGGTCGGAGTTGCTCATTGCCAGTTCTGATGCCATTCTCCTGCCGCCGCCGCCGCCGCCGCTCCGCCAGATGGGCTGCAGGAGAGGGGCCAGCGGGCTGTGCTGGGTGGCCAGCGGGTGAGCCAGCTTGCCGGGCTGGGGCGCTTCTAGCTCGCGCGGCGGTGGCTGGCCGAAACCTCCGAGCGCTCACACCCCCCGCCCTGCCCGCGCCCCCCGCGCCCGCCCTCCCTCCCCCCTGCTCACGCCAATGTGCTCGCTCGCTCGCCCCGGCCCCTCCTCGCCTGCTCGCCTCCCTGCGCTCGGAGCCGGCAGCTTCAGGCTCGGGAAGGTCCTCCGCGGGTTGCGGTAGAGGCGGTGGCGAAGCCGGAGGAACCCGGCCCTAAGCGCGGCGTCCCCCGCTCGGCGCTCCGCTGCGCGCTTTGCATAAGGAGTGCTCGCCTCGCCGGCCCGGGCTGCAGGCGGGGCGTGCGCGGCAGTCGCTCCGGGCTGGGGCCGCGGTGGGCGGCTGTCCGGGAGGCGCGGGCCTTGGCACAGGGGAGTTAACACTTCATGCTTCTCGCCTCCTCTTCTGCCTGGCTTATTATTATTATTTTTTCTTTCCTCTTTCTTTCTCCCTGGCGCGCTCTTTCCTCCGTGCAAAGTGCAAGACAGAGGTGCAGCCCGGCTGAAGAAAAGGGAGGGGGGAGTTTAGTTCTTTCTTGCCTTTTTTTTTTTTTAAAGCAAAATAACAAAGTCCTGGGGAAAGGCGAGGCAGAAAGCAAAAGGGGGAGACCGAGCCGACAAGCAGCCCAAGCTACAGCTCGAAGATGAAAAAAGATTTTAAAGCCTCTGATCCAGCAAGAAGAGTTGAAAGCAATTGCTGAGTTTATAAGCACTTGTGACGTCAGGTCCAAATGGGAAATTGACTGGTACTCCAGACCAATGGGAGGCGACGAGAGCTGCCGCGATTAGCATAATAGTATAGAAACAAGGAAACTTTTCGGAGCTGTCAATCAGGGCCCAATCAGCTGACTGTCAGCTGGGACGGGCTGGCTTAACCCTTCGGGTGCCGTAACCTCCTCAGAGGCAGCAAAGCCTGGCGCAAAGTTTGTCGCGAGAGGGGAAGGAGTTTTCCAGAAGGGCTACAGGAACCTGGGAGGACCGGGAGGAAGGTTCGCTTCACTTAGCTCCGCAAGAGGCCTGCCTTCCAGAGCTCCAGCTCTCTCTCCACTCTCTACGGGGACTGGCCTGATTCCTTTTCCCTGCCTGCTCCCCTAGCCCTGGACTGTGAATTCGCTGGGCAGTTTTCCCTCCTCGCTCCACTTCTGGTACCCAGGTGTCTGCTAGGGGGACCTTCCTTTCCTGAGCCTGGATGGGCTGGGGCTCAAACTTGGCCCAACTCTTTGCCCCCCTCAATGGTGTCCGCACGTAGGGAGGTACAGGGGTTCGATGGCGTGCTTGATGCCGCCAGCTGCGCGCCTGTGTGTGTGGGGGGGGGGGTGCGGGAAGAAAGGAGGTGGAATGGTTTGGAGACCGCCGGGAGAAAAAGCCCATTTTATCACCCTCTTATAAAGGAGGTGAAATTAGCTGTTCAGGGGCCATTCAGCGCCGGGACCAGCTGCCCGTTGGCTTAGTGTGCCCTTGGGGGAGCAATCGCCTAAGCTAGTTAACTGCGGGAAAGCTTCCGACTCTGGCCTAAGTTTGGTTTTTGAGAGTCCTGCTCTCGTTCACTCGCTGGCTCGCTAGCTCGCTCGCTCGCTCGCTCGCTCTCTCACACACAGGGACACATACACACCCCTCTTAGGAAATCTGACCTCTGTTTATCAGGGTCCCGCGCACTGCGTACTTTTACATTTCACTTAATTATTTCATATTCAATCATAGCAAGGAACAAGGGGGGAAAACAACACCCAGGTCTTCCCCAGCTCCCCTCGAAGGGTTAAATTTTAATCTGCAGTTTCTCGGACAAGTCCGGAAACCTTGAGTGGGGGTGGGGTGGGTTAGGTGGGGGGTGGGGTTGCTTCTCCCCCTCCCTGTTGCAGATGCTAATAACTATTCGATTTTCCAAATCGGTTCGTTTAAAGCTTATGCAAAAAAGAAAAAGGAAAGAAAAGAAAAAAGAGAGGACAGGCAAATGTTTCTAAGATTTTAAAGCGATAGGCAAGTCGAAGAAACCGAGATTTATTTGGGGAAAAGCAAGAGTGAAGCCGACCCAGCACCTGGAAGATAAGACTGCCTATTTGGATGTTGAACTGTTGATTCCTCCACTTAATGAAATGCACTTGGTGTTAATCATATTTATTTTACTTTATGGGAGGGAGAGATGATAGGAGGGTGCATTAAAAAAAAAAAAAAAAGATCTGAAAAGCCTGCAACTGGATCGAAGAGTGAAAACTATTGTTGGATCGAGTTGGTTTTTACCTCAACAGCGCCACCTTTCGGCAAAGGTCAGTTGAAATGGATTCGTGTCCAATTTTGTGATAAAGTGAAAAAGGAGTTGGTTTCCCAAGGTGGGAGGAGGAAAAAAGCACAGAAAAGTTAGTCTGACTTCGGTGAGAAAAACTGACCTTGTAGATGGGGGGGCTGGAAATAGTCCAGGTAGGTGCGGGAGTAATTTTCTCTTCCCTGCCCCATGTGTGGACAAAGCAGCCAGGGGACACTAAGCCTTAGATCACAATTCTGACAAAGATTTTTGCAAGTGGACCCTATGTGACAGGGCCCCAGGCCCTTTAAAAGTACCAGGATAGATTTTCAACGAGCTTTATGGAAATATCAATAGAATTAAAGTTACTTGTAATTCAGTAATAAATGAGATGTCTCTAGTAAGTAAGATTAAGTGCAGTGCTATAAAGTTGTTTATCTGAAAAGTAATTCTCAGAAAACCTGACTTCTGACACTTAGTCATATATTAAGCCAGCTTCTTGAACATTGCACTTCAGGACACTCTCACCCACCCCCGGCATACTTTACTATTTATAAGGAGACCTGAGGTGTCATTCACTGGCTTTGTACAGCAGACTAGATTTGTGTTAATTTCTTTGATACTGGCGTTTCTTCAACAAACCTGGTCTTCCTAATGAGAGACCGCCCCAAAAGGTTTGCAGCACACCTTAACCCTAAAAGGTCAGCATTGTTAGTATTTTCCAAAACAGCACTTTTTCTTTTCATCATTACTGCAGAGAAGCTGTTTATAAGGGTAGTTTTGGTTTTATGGGAGTACTTTGTTGGGGTAGAATGAAGTATGCCTGTCTATTACCAGTTTAGGGAAGAGAACTTGACGATTATGTCAATATTTATGTAACTTAACAGAAGTCCCTTGTTTTCATCCTCTTAAACCATATTTTACCTAATAATGAAATTAAAAGGATTATATGTCTATATCCAAAGGAAAAGCCATGCTTAAATTACATAAACATATGTCATTTAGCATTGTCCACAGTAACAGTTTTCTAAGCTTTTTTTTAATCAATAATCATAATTGTCTTAAGTTTGTCTTTAATGTAAAATATGAATTTAAGTGTATTTGGGAAGGATTAATTCACTTTTTTTAATTCATGATGACAGTCCTTTTATCCTTTTGTATCACTTTGTTGTAAAAGCTTGATGATATGACCCCTGCTTCTCATAGAAATATTTTTGACCAGGCATACTGAAATTGCTTGCATTTATAAATAAACTACATTTATGAACAAAGTTTGCTAACAGTAAAAACCATGCTATATAGATTCATGGTCATGCACCTAATTGTTGCAATTATATATCATTTCTAGAATGAAATGCCCATGTTTGGGAAGCTAAGTGTATTATTAACTGCACTTTTTTTTTTTTTTTGGTGTATTTTTGTGCACTGCTGTCCAGCCATGGTATTTTTCTTTCTCTTATTGCAGACGTTCATAGTCTCCCATTTTCTCTTAAAAAAAAAAATCTGAATTTTTTTAGATGTGTAGCAATAATGCTCTCAGGCTTATGACTTAATTCTCATTTCTGTCCTTTTTACTTTATTATTTAGTGATTCACAGGGGTGCCTAAACATTTACAGTTCTCTGTTAGCAGTGTTTCTTTTATAACAATTGAGCTTTCTCATTTTAATTAGTACTATTCAGGTTTTTGATTCTCTACAATTACAGCAGGCCACATTTCTTTAGACTTCTTTGCTAACATTGTTTGTTTCACACTTCTCTCCAAGCCAGTCTAATCCAAATACGATATGAACTGTTTTTTACTGCTTAATATCCCCTTGCTATATATACTCTAGTAATCTCTGTAGAACAATATAGAATAATTTAGAAACCATGCATTGTCATTATTGACCAATTCAAACCAGAAACATTAATGTTTCTGAAGGCAGAGAATATTTACAGAATTGTTTTTTTTGGGGGGTGAGGAGGATACCGGTCAAACCATGTAGAAGGTTGTGAAACCTGACATCAAAAACACAATTATAGTTTTACGTCAATACATACAAAATTATTTCATGCAAAAAGAGAAAAAAAAAGTTCATGTCCAGATTACAATGATTAAGAGCTAAAAAGAATGTGTTTTTCCTGATTGTGAGTTACACCAACTCAGGTATATCATGCTGGAGTCAGACATATATAATCTGAAAAGAACAAGATGCATCAAGTGCAGTGTCTAAACTCGTTTATCTGTGAGCCGATTTTACGATGCAGAACTAAACCAGAGGTCACTAAATTTTCCTATGAAGCCAACTAAATTGATTTGAGAAAAGAGTTGTTCAGAGTCATTGAGTGATAAGGCTTATACTGTTCTTGGGTTGAGTGTTAGATAAATCCTTTTAACAGTCTTTAGTTAGCAGGGTAAGTAAATCAGAAATCACGGTTAGCAGACTCATGGAAGAAAATTAATAGAATCAGACAAGATAATCTGATCAGGGCAAAATTGCTGAGGAAACAGTCTTGCCTCATATTGGAGAATGTGAAACAACAGTCTGATTACTAGGAGTCGTTATGAATAGGTGAATTATGTGCTAAATAATCATCAGAGTAATTCAGCATTTATTAATTCTTTTCTCTTTAAGCAATTCACAGTTGTAAGTTAAAGCCACTCTCTCTTTGAAGACACATCTTTTATAATTTTTATTAGCAGTAATTTATTATTTGTATTACCTGTATTTACTTCATAATTGAACATTTTGCATTCAAATTTATGTAATGCATTATGCTTGAGAATATATTTCTGCCTGATTAGCATAAATAGTCACTTACCTCATGAATTACTAACAAAGTTTATCTTAAAATATAGGTTTTTTTATTAAGTGGAACACAAACATATGTACAATAAATTCTGATTTTCCTGTGCAGTTAGAGAACAAGCACATTTAGTTTCGGGGAAGCTGGGCTGCAAGGTGATGGGTGGAATCATGAGAAAGCCAAACACAGACAAATGAGATTTGTAGGCTTCTCTCAGGAGTATCATTTATATGGGGATGCATGCTTGGGGGCCGGTAGGGGGAAATGCAGATGGTGCTAGGCTCTTTGCATTCTTTAAGGGATGGTTTCTACAGGGATGCAGATTCTGACCAAACCTGTAAGTTGTTATCTATAGCTTTGTGAAGACCGTGAAAGCAAGTGAGAGAGTACCAAGTTTTGTTTATTTAATGTTTATGGTGCTTGCTTATTTTGCCTCTATTGAGATTGACCTTAAAACACAATACACAACATCACAACATGTAATACATTTTTTTGTTCTGCACTAGAGCTATATAAGCCCCGGGTGTTTTCTCAAGTGAGAGTTCCTGTGAAGGTCTCCCCAGCTTTGCTGCTGCTCTCCTCTCCTTTCTTCAACAAAGCCACCTGATATGGTCTTGCACACAGGTATGCAATTAACAGTGTTACGCATTCTCGCACATTTGAACAAAAGGACCTCTTTTGGTTTAAAGCAATAGACAGATACGAAATGATTAGACCTCTGTCCTCACTCTGCCATTCACCATCAACAGATTTCCATGCTTTTCCCTTTTCCCCTCTTTCTTTCTCAGGGCATAGACTTCTCTTTAGATTTTTTTTTTTTACCCCCTTGATTAGGAACTGCTTATGATTTGCACTTCTTTGTTACCCCTTTGGTCCTATCCACAGTTTATATCCATGAGGAACTTGGTCTCAAAATCATTCAATACTCTAAAGGTTTTTGTTGTGCAGACATCAGAATGGATTTAAAACAACAGCAACAAAGCCCAGGACTTAACAACAGAGACCTAGTTTTGAAGCCAGACTTTTGCAGGCTGTGTCTTTTCTGTGGGGAAACTCAGAGGGCAGACTGTCCCTGGTGCTAGCTGGGCAAGGTTTCTCTCACTCTCCTGCCTACTCCTTGGGTAAGGTGATCCAGAAGCATTTAGCAGCACTTTGACTTGGGGAATGGAGCCTGGAATTCTAGAACACACAGACCTAACTTAAATGCACATGTGATTACTGGGAAGTTCTATGATTTCTGAACATGTGTGCACTATACAGCTTGTTCGGGAAGAACCCGTAAAAAGAGTCACTTGTGTTTTGGTTTACACCTTAGTTCTTGGTTGCATAATAGATTCTGTTGAGGTTTTTCTAAGGTGCTATTTTGTTTATTTAGAACACAAACATATCCATTGTTATCCTTACTGCATCATCTATCATGTGTGTTCTGGATCAGGCAAGAAACAGAATTGGGCTAACTCTCATACCCACTACCATCCTCAAGTAAAGATTGAATCAAATTGATGAATCTTCTGCTGGGATTGATTATTACTTGGTAATTTTAGTACAGTGATGTGTGCTGTTCGTTAAATATGAACAAACATTTGGACAAGACAGAAATAGGAAGATATCACACATAAGAACTGCTATTTCTCATCTTTCTCATGACACCTTAACCTCTTAATCCTAGTCTCAGGTTCTGAGTGCTACTTATAAAAACTAGGCTGCATGTTTTAGAGGAGGCGAGGCTATAGATTTGACCTTAACACCTTCCTTCCAACCAATGTATGAATCAGAATCTGCTTTAAAACTGACTGGCCTGTGGGTTGACAGCCTGCAGGGCCAACTCGACTTTGCCAGGCACTGCAACACAATCTTCAAGGCTGAGGATTCAGCCCCAGGTTTGGGGCCTCGAGAACATTTTAGTTTATTTAAAAATCAGAAGAAACTATCATAACCAAACATGGACTGTATCTATTATTCAACACAATATTATCTATAGTTACATATATATGGTTTATGAAAGAAGGGGTCCATAGACACCAAAGTGTTCAGTGCCCACAGAAGTCTAGATATGGCCACAACACCCCAGTGTACTTGATCACCCCAGTGGCAGGGGCTAGCTCTCTATTAGTTTTGCCTTCCGTCCTCTTTCTCCTCACAGTTTTCTCCTCACAGTTTCCGTCCTCTTTCTCCTCACGTCCTTTTTCTCCTCACAGTGGTCAGGAAAACTTTGCTCGTTAGTGTAATAT